AAGCCCACGACGGCTCGTGTGCAGTCGGGGCGTTGACCTAAGGATCCCTGAATAAGGAGCGAGGCCCCTTTTTTCCATAAGTTAACCTTCGATTTCGTATCGAAACCCTAAGGAAAAGCCTGAGGCAAGCTGCGAAACACTTAAGGAACGCGGAGCCCCTCCCCAACAAATAGGGTTCCTTCCTCAGGGCCCCGACTGTACACACTCCTGCGGGATGGCAGCAGACAATCTCCGGGGAAGTGCTCCTGGCCCAAGGTGCCCTCAGATTTCCAAGCACACCCATCACGAGGCCCACACCCACGGCCTCCAGAGCACACCCATCACGAGGCCCAAAGGCCCCAGGGGCTCCGAAATCGAGCGAACAACTGCAGCACTTTGGGCCAGGGGCATCTCTAGCAACCCGGTCTGCATGCGGGCTCCGGAAACCAGGGCGGTCTCCTCGGGCGCGAGACCGTGCCTCGAGAGAAAAATGATGCGCAGATAAAAACCAGTTGGAAGGGGGCCGAGAGCTTCGGGTGGGAGCGGGCTGGATGTACAGTCCCAGGGGAAGGGGCCGAGAGCTCCACCCAGACCCGCGACGTCGTGATTCTCTGAGAGCGTCGACCGCCAGAGGTCTGGACCCCTTCCCTGGGACCGGCTTTTCTCAAGGGGCCCAAGGACACACAAAGAACTACACACAAATAACAGGATCCCCCATGTTTTCTTATATTTTCTGGGCTTTGGTCTTCCCCCCCGCTTCCCATATTTTCCTGTATGTTCGGGGGAATGCACGATTCATTGTGCCTGCGTGATTTTTCCCTCCTGATTTTCACCCGGAGCTGATTCCTGACAGCCCCGAGGCCCAGCGGGGGCCCCCAGAGGCAGAGCACGGCGAAAAGCATCCCGTCGCGTCTGTTCCGCAGCGCGTGGGGGGAGGGGGGGCTGATGGCCTCCGGGAGGTCCGGCACCTCGGCCCCCGGAGGGCCTGCCCTGACCAGCCTCGAGCTCATCCCTGTCCCCATCGGGGGTGGCCAGACCTCCTCTGGGCATCGCTCGGACGTCCATTCCCTGTGCTTCTTTCGGTTTCGTGCGTGGTTTTTTCGCCAAATGATCAAGGATGCTCCTCGATGGTCCTCGCCGCAAGAAAAAAGCACACGCCCGAGCGATGCCAAGTCCTGCCCTGACGCGTCGATTAGCGACTTGGCCGTTTTCGGTTCGCGAGAGGGCGTCGCGGCCGTCACTTTCGCGGTTCCAGGTCCGTCGGTTTCGGTCCCGGGCCGTTTTCACTAAAGGGAGGTTACTAGAGGGAGGTTGGTCCACCCGCGACCCTAGGACTGACAGTCCTAACTGCGATGACAAGTGAGCGACGATCATTTACGGGTCTCACGCGAGATGGCACCGCGACCTTACGCGGTGACTGACGCGGGCCGCCAGCGCGGCACGTTACGTTGGAGCAGAAGGCGCGACCTTACGCGGGCAGCGTACGCGTGAGCGTCGGAACAGACCCCGTTCTCTTGCGTCGCTGAATTGGCAGCGCGCAGAAGGGGGTTCGGGGGAGGGGGGAAGGCTTCTTCGAGCGAGGCCGCTGCTTGGCAGGTGCGGGCCCTATCTGTAAGTGTCAGGACGGCGCCCTCTAAGAAGCAGCCTCCTTCTAGGAAGCCTTCCCCCCCCCACCCCCCCTCTGCGAGCCGACAAGACAATCCGAGGTGGAGCGCCCTCTAAGAAGCAGCCTCCTCCTAGGAAGCCTTCCCCTGTCCCCCCCCTCTGCGAGCCGACAAGACAATCGGCGGTGGACAAGCCTCCCTTTAGTAAACCTCCCCTTAGTGAAAACGGCCTGGGGCCGAAGCCGACGGACCTGGACCCGCGAAAATGACGGCCGCGACGCCCTCTCGCGAACTGAAAACGGCCAATTCGCTAATCGACGTGTCAGGTAGGAGGCCTGTCCACCCCCGATACAAGACAATATCAGGGGTGCGTCCGGAGAACCTGCGGGAATGTTTAAGACTGGCATCGAGATAAAGGCGACGCCAATCATCGGGATATAGGGCCACGCTTCGGGCTGGTCACTGCCCTCCGCCTGCGCGCCGCCGCCTGGGGCCACGAACGCGGCGTCCTGCAGGAAGTCGACGTGTATCGCGTCGCCCTCGCCGGCGTCGCCGTAGTCAGCACCACTCCAGACGGAGCCGAGCGTCGTGAGGCACCTGCCTCGGGGCGGGGCGCACCGCGACTCCCCGTCGCTCGGACGTCCATTCCCTGTGTTTTTAGCGGTTCCGTGCGTGTTTTTCTTGCCCGATGATCCAGGATGCTCGTCGATGGCCCTCGCCGAGAAACAATGCACACGTCGGAGCGATACCAAGGCGAGGGCACGGACAGGCCGGCCGCTCGGCGGGCTGGGCTCTCTCCACGGACATGGGCCTCTCTTCGCACACCGGGCAGGCAGTGCCGCCGGCAAGCCCCCGAACGCTCCAGAGGTGGCCCCCGACGCCCGCGAGAGGGGCGGGAAGGGCGGATGCCTCGAGAGGCGCGCAGAAGCCCCCAGAAGGCCCCCTAACCCCCCCCAAGCCCCGAGAGAACACAACAGGCCTCCATGAGAGTCTCCTCGTCCGCGACCCTGGCAGGGTGGCGGGACAGGCCAGAGGCCACAACTCCGCCGCCCCCTGATGGCTTGCCACAGTGGTGCCTGGCGTGTTAAACGTCTGATGGTTCTTGGTTCTTTTAGACCTCCCCCTGGGGCTTCGGCCCATTGCGAAGGGCTCCCACAACGGCTGGGGGAACGCATGGTCCAATGGCGTGGCCAAACTTGCCCAAACGTTTGGCCTCGTAGGCGTATCCTGAAGGGCAGGGGGCGGCGATGATTCGCCGTAGGCGTCTTCGATCGGGCACCCCATTTTGCTTACCAAGCTGTGTCAAGCTTACCCAAGCGATCGTCCCGTCTTCGATCGGGTTTTTGCGTGTGCCAAGCTTCAACACTCCTTGGCCCTTCCATAAAGTTCCTTGTGTATAAGGTCTCGGCTTCTCCGGCTGGCCACCCGCGCGCGCGGACCAGACCTCGCCCAAGATGGCCTCCCAGCCGGTCCCATGTATCCCCCTCCTGGGAGGGCGTTGCTGAAGGTGTGCCCCAGGCACAGGGTGCCCCCCAGCTTTTCACCCAATTTGGGGGCCCCTGGGGCTCTCTGGGCATCGTGAGGGGCGCCCTGCAGGCCGCTGGGGCCTCCCTGGAGATCCAGGGTCCATATTAAATGAAACCATAGCATTATATATATATATATACACATATATACAGAATTGAAGAATGAAGCTTTTGGGGGTCGAAACATGTGCTGATGGCACTTTACTTAATTCTTGTTTACGTGCAATCGATGCATTACTGGGGACAAGGGGCACTTCTAGCAACACTCGACAAGCGCGTTCCACTACTCGCAAAGTCGCTACTCGCAAATGGGCATCATCCGCCACGGGGGATTCACGCTCCGTTGCATCAAAGGAACATGTTTTTTCCCCGACGTTTGCGAGTAGGCACTTGGCGAGTAGTGGAACGCGCTCGGTGAAACACCCGACCTGGGACCAAGATTGGCCTTACCGAATTCGTTGTAGGTGACTCCCTCCGATCGTTCCGGCGCAGTGCCGATCCACCCCCCAAGAAGCGTGTCTCACCGCCTCCAGCGTTTATTGGCGGCGAGCGAGGGGGGGAAGTGAGAAGGGGAAGGCCTTCTCAGAAGGCGGCGGGGCTTCGCAGAAGGCCTCAGGCCTTCTGAGAAATATTGTTTTTTTCTTTTCTCGGGGAAGGCTCATACAACTTCCCAGAAGCCTCGGTGACTTCCGAGCCTTCTTAGAAGGCCCGCCCCTTCTCACTTCCCCCTCTCGCCTGCCGCCGAGTTTAGGCTGCTGCCCCGAGCGCCTGAACTGGTGCACCAGAGCTTCAGGGTGTGGTCTCGGGAAGCGGTGAGCAGCACCGACTCGTCCTCCGACAGGGCGGCCGACGTGACCCAGTAGGAGTGCCCGCTGAACGTCTGCAGGCAGGCGAGCAGGCCGACGCTCCAGACCTTGGCCGTCCAGTCCGAGGAGCACGTCACCACGAGGGTGGCCTCCCTGGAGAACACGGCCTTGCGGACGAAGTGCGAATGCCCGCGGAAGGTGCCTACGCAATCGCCCGAGCCGATGCGCCACAGCCGTGCCGTGCTGTCGGCCGAGGCGGTCAGCAGAAGGAGGCCGTCCGGCGAAAAGACGGAGGTATTGACCCAGCCCCTGCGTTGGGGAAACAACGACTTGCCATCGCTCGGACGATTATTCCCCGTGTATTATTCGGTTTCGTGTGCCTGTAGGCTCTAGATGATCCAAGATGCTCCCCGATGGTCCTCGCCGGAAAAAGAACGACACACGTCCGAGCGATGCCAAGAAGAGGTACCAATACCGCTACTCCCTGGATCACTCCCGGGGTGTGTTCTGACCAGAGCTTCGAGGCGAATCCAGCGGTGGTGACGAGGGCTTCCCAGGAGGCCGAACAAGGGTAAAACAAGGGAAGGGTAGCGGTATATGGGTAATTGTTTCTCCTCCAACGTGGTATCCCCTCTTCGACGAACGAGGCGACGAGGACCCCCAGGAGGCCGTGGCGAGGAGGGCCCCCCCCGGGAGGCCCCCCCAGAGGCGAAGGTGTGCCTTGCCCTCCTTCCGCCTGTGCCCCTGGAAGGTGCGCTCCAGCCGCTGGGGCGCGATCTGCCACAGCTTGGCGGTCGCGTCGGCGGACGCGGTGGCGATGTGCGCCCCGCAGGGCGAGAACTGCGCGCAGCGCATGTAGGCGTCCTCGTGCCCGCGGAGCGTCCACTCGCAGGCGCCGTCGGCGACGCTCCAGATCCTGGCCACCCCGTCGGCCGAGGCGGTCAGCACGCGGGCCTCGTCGCAGGAGAAGACGGCGGAGTAGAGCCCGCCGACGCCGTACCCGAGGTCGTCCGCCCCGTGGAAGGTGCGCGTGCACTCGCCGCTCGCCACGCACCAGAGCTTCGCGCACCCGTCGTAGCCCGCCGTCAGCAGGGTCCTGCCGTCGCGCGAGAACTCCCCCGACATGACGGCCCCTCCGTGGCCCAGGAAGCTCTGCAGGCAGGCCTTCGAGGTCGCGCACCATATCTTCGCTGTGCCGTCGTAGGAGCAGGATATCGGAGGGGGGCCAGATGACACAACGGCGGCTGTCCGATCCCGCACGGCCCCAATTCGCTCAAAATGGTTCTCTTGGCGGCGCGCACAATGGGGTAGGGGGAGGGAGGAAGGCTTCTTTTGAAGGAGGCTGCTTCCTAGAAGGCGCCCGCCCTGCATCTACAGACAAGGCCCTGACAAGGCCTGCGCCTTCTAAGAAGCAGGGGTGCTTCTTAGAAGCCCTCCTCCCTCCCCCCTGCCCCGCTGTGCCCCTCCCGTTGTCCACTCTGGCCCGCTCTTCGAGGCGGACATCCCGCCGCGGCGAGGAGGCAACTCCGGGAGGCCCAGACCCCCGACGTCATCATTGCTTCATGACGTTGACCCCCCGAGGTCCCGTCTCATTCCCCAAGACCATTTCTTTGGACACCCGAAATGGGTACGGAAAAGATGGGTACAACGCCCAACAACAAATGTTGTCCCGAACCAGCAGCGGCCGCTGTTGGGCAGGCGGCCTTCTGTCTCAAGTGGACGCAGGCCGCGGCGGCGTGGACAGCGAGTCCTGTCCAAAACGAACAGGAACTGCTGTTGGGCATTGTACCCGTTCTTTGCGTACCCATTTCGGGCGTCCAGGAGCTCTTCCTCCCGAGTCTTTGTGTTTGACGGTGCCGGGGGCTGGCGAGGCCCCCATCAAAGGCCGAGAGGTGGACAAAAACCCTCGTCGCGATCTGTTCACAGCTCGAGGGGGGGGTCTGGGGGTCCAAGGCCGACGGGGAAAGCAAGAAGGAATGCCACCGCCGTCTCGCCCGGGCCTCCTCCGAGGATAGCACCCGCAGCCCGCCCGGCACCTCCGCGACCTCTGCGGACGCCGGGAATGGGTTAAGGATACCACGGGTACGGTCGGACCTGATGTGTATTGGGGTTGAAGTACAAGGGTACAGAACCCCTGATCCTCATCGTGCTGCCACCAGAAAGCGCCTGACAAGTCAGGGGGTGTTTTCTGACCACGGCGGGCCAAGGCCGCAAACAGGTCCCACGGCAAAAATCTAGGGAACGGCTCGGAAACCCGAGTCCCTGCTCAGCCCAAAGCGGTCCCTCTTTCAGCATCTGGACCTGTCTGCCCGACGACACCTGCTGTCCGAAACCGTCAGGTGCCGCTTGTGGGGCAGGCAGCCGGCTGCCTCAAATGGACACAGCCCGCGGCGGCACCGCCAGCGAGTCCCGTCTCGCATGGGCAGGAGGCCGTATTTCCTTAGACCGGGGCGAGTTCACTTGCATGGAAGGGGGAGGGGCAGGGCTGAACCTTAAACAGTGTTTTTCGTTGTCGTTTTGTTTTCGTTCCCCCTCGTGTTGCCTTGAATTCGCCCTTGCTGCAGAACGATCTCGAAACGAAAACGGCCCACGAAGTCGCCAAAACACCGTTTAGGTCCACCCCTGGGGAGGGGGGTGTAAGGCCGGCGCCTTCCAAGAAGCAACCTCCTTCTAAGACGCCTTCCCCCCTCCCCCATAACCCCCCTCCGCGCTTGGCTGAAATCTTGCCTGATACTACAGTCAGACCGATGTGTAGCAATGATGAAGAGCTTGCCAAGGCTACCCTTGCATCCTTCCCCTCCGGCCCATCCTCGGCCCATCCTCGGCCGCGTTCGCTGGCCGCGCCCCGCTCGCAAAGTGTCGCCATGGTCTTCCAAGGCCCTTGCATCCTTAGCGTGCGTCCTCGTTATACGCGTCGACTGTGAAGAACAACTAGAGGCCTCCCAGATGGGGTCGGAGCAGCTGGGGTCGAAGGACCGCGCCGCATCGCACATACATTGGCGATGCATCGGCGACGTCGACGTGAAGCAAGTCGGGCTCCACATCGAGCCGCATCGCCGATGCATCGGCGACGCGGCGCGACCCTCCGACCCAGTCGACTCCGACCCCCCCATGGATGAAGGGGCCCTGGGACACACAACAAAATACACACAAATAACCAGATTCCCAATATGTTCCCACATTTTCTGGGTTTTTGTCTTCCCCCCACTTCCCATATTTTCTAGTATTTTCATGGGGAGTCGAGGGTTACTTGTGTCTGTGTGTTTCTTTCCCTCCCGAGTGAAGCAAGTCGGGCTCCACATCGAGCCGCATCGCCGATGCCTCGGTGACGCGGCGCGACCCCTCCGACCCCGTCCTGGCCACCGGTCGGACGTCCATTCCCTTCGCTTTATTCGGTTTCGTGCGTGGTTTTCCGCCAACTGATTACCAGCCTGGAACATATCCCTATCCCTATGCTGGGCACCTCCTCATCACGATGTCAATCTTAGGGATTCCCTCATTTTTTGAGGGCGAATCCCTGAGATTGCCATCGCCTTCTGGCGTGTCCATCTTAGGGATAGGGATACGCTCGAGGCTGGTAAAATGATCAAGGACGCTCCTCGATGGCCCTCGCCGCAGGAAAAATGCACGCGTCCGAGCGATGCCCAGCCGTCGACTCCGAACCCCCCCACGGAGTGCTGCGCTGCACCGATGCGGACTCGGCGGCGGGCCCAGGGCGGCACGGCGCGAGGGGGGGAGGCCTCCTCGGCAGCCCCATCCGCGCCCTGTAGCAGGCAGACTCCAGAGGGCCAACGTTAGGTCGGGCCTGTCCCCGGGAGGGGGAGGGGGAGGAGGAGGAGGAGGAGGAGGAGGAGGAGGAGGAGGAGGAGGAGGAGGAGGAGGAGGAGGAGGAGGAGGAGGGGAGACGCGTCGATCGGGAGCGGCCAAGAGGGGGGTGTCCAAGAGGGGGGGGTGCAAGTCATGACCGGCGGCGTGGCGCGGCCCAGCGGGGGGCCAGGGACGCAATGAAATGAGAAGAGGCGGCACAACATCTGGGGAAATATCATGGCCCCCGCCATGATATCCACCCCCCCTGGTCATCACCCCCCTCTTTTCCGCCCCCGATACAAAGGGATGTTGGACGAACAATTTTTGGGGAGCTTGGACGGAAAATCTTAAAACATATAAAACAACACATGCACCAACATGGCAACAATAATACTCAAAGACAAATCGTCTCCAGACTATTGTTTGACAAGTTTGTTGCATATTCCCCCTGTAGAGGACCAAGCCCGACTGAAGGCCAGCGCCCTTCCGAGCCCTCTGGGAAGGCCCGCCCGCTCGGACTTCCCCACCTGGGCTCGCCGCCGGGAGAGCTAGTCGACTGCTACAAACGACGCCCCTCCTCCCCGAGTGCTTCGATGCGTGGGCTTCCTTAGGAGGCCACATGCGACCCCTACAGTCGGACTCGATTGGACAGGACACGCGAGAGGACACAAGACCCTTCCGAGGGCCACATCGGCGTAGGAGTGTAAGAAGGCACGTGTCGCGAGCCACAGGACACAAGGGTACCCTTGAGCTGGCAGGGTCCACCTACTAATCCAGGCGGACTGCACAAACAGCGCCCGCCTCCACGATTGTTTCTATGCGTGGGCTGCACTAGGAGGCCACATGCGAACCCAACTTTAGGAGGCAACTACTGGGAGGTTTTCTTCGGAAAGATAAAAGAGGAATAAGCCCCATTTGGAAGCTGTTGCGCCGGAGTGGGCCTCGGAATAAGCAGGATTAAGCGGGATTAAGCCAGATTAAGCGGGATTAGGCTGGATTCAGCCGGATTTCGGACCAGGGCGAAAACAGAATTTGACCTCCCAGGAGTTGCATCCGAACCAACCCACGACTTTTGAAGTGCAGGGCTCGCATGCGGCCTCCTGCCCACGGACATCCGGCCGCTCCGACCTCTTTCGCTGTGTGGGCTCCCCGGAGGTCGTGGGCCGCCTCTCCCCCCGAGGGCCGGCCGCTCGCCCCTGCGAGCCGTCTCTCTGACGGCCCCGGCAGGCTCGTGACAAGGGCCCCCCCCCCCCGGAGGCCGCGAGGAGCCCCGAAGCGGGCGCTCCCATCGGGCACACGCGCGAGGATTCGCAGTGAACCCTGACCCCCTCGCGCTGTGAAAAAATCACACGGCGGGACATGTTCGCTATTTTTTTGTTTGCCTCCGGCTGCCCTTGCTGGGCCTCGGAGCCGTCAACAAAAAAAAATCTGGATGAAAAACGGGCCCCGGGGGAGGGGTCTCGACCTCCGGGTGGGTCGGCGTTGCGACAAGGTCACGACGTCGGGGGTCTGGGAAAGGACCCCACGCCCCTTCGGCGGGGACCAAAGTCGGGAGGACCAACACCAATCAGGGATAGGGTTCTTCCTGCAGGTGGATCAAACCAAGCCACCCCGATCAATCATCCCTGATGCTAAAGGCGGGGACCTCAGTGAGGCACTCTGGTATGAAGGTTAGGGTCTCGTTTATCCTCGATAAAGGAATGTCCTGGGCAAGAGTGACATTTGGTGCGCGGCTTACTGGAGGAGGCAGGGTGGCCAAACCTGGGCGCGCAAGCCGCTGTAACCGCTTCACGTTCAGCAGCCAGGGGCCCATTAAGCCCGCATCAAAGGCCACTCTGGCGAAAGGTCACTCTTACGTCCCTCCAATCTCCTCGGAGTCCTCAGATGCTGCCGACTTTTGTAACCCCTGAAATCGGGCGTTGCGAAAAGATGCTACATCGCACACAATCGCGACTGGCTCCCTGGAGCCCATCTTTCTGCACCATTTTTCGAGCCCGACGGGGCGAAACTGCCCGTTGCGCAAGAATTGCAACGCCAGGATCTCAGGGATCATCATATCCGTACTCATCTTAGCATGGGCGGGTCCTGAGGGAGACCTGGACCCCAGGACCTTCCCCCAGGACGAGATCTGCATCCTGAATCGTTTTCTGACAATCCCAGGACCTGTGGAGGGCTCCAAAAAGCAAACACAAACGGCGAAACACCTGAGGACCCCTTTCCCTCCCTCAAGACCCGCTTCCCCAGACCCGCGACGTCGTGATTGTTTCACAGCGTCGATTCCCAAAGGTCTGGACCCCTCCCTTCCCTTGGGACGGTTTTTCATCCAAAGTCGGTTTTCCCCCAGGAGACCAAAAATAGCGAAAAACCTCCCGTGGTGATTTTCTTCACAACGCGAGGGGGTCTACTTGGATCGCCGCGGGGTGTGCTGAGAGGATACGGGGATACAAGCGGATGCAAAGGTGGGTTCTATCCAGCCTAACCAAGCTTAGAAGTGGATTGCACGTGCCCGAAGTGGCTCATGGGCGCACAGATCCGGGCTAAGTGGGCGGAGCCCACTTAGCGGAGTTCCCTCATCATCCTATAAACCACATGGGCACTTGTAATTCACCCACTTCTAAGTCGGGTTCCGTCAGATCAAGCGCACTTTGGCCCTTGGCATCGATTTCTGACGCCCCCGTCCCCTTTGCAACCACCGCGGCGATCCAATCCACGTGTGCTCCCCACTTCCGGCGGTGGACAAACCTCCCTTTAGTAGACCTCCCCTTCGTGAAAACGGCCTGGGACCGAAACCGACGGACCTGGACCCGTAAAAAAAATGACGGCCGCGACGCCCTCTCGCGAACCGAAAAACGGCCAATTCCTCAATCGACGTGTCGGGGCAGGAGGTCTGTCCACCTCCGACACTTGGCGCTTTGGGCATCGCCCCCGGCCTCCTCCGGCAGCTCCTCCTGCCCGCGCGAGGCCCGCGGCGCCGCGGCCGCGCCGCACGCCCCCGCGGCCTCCCGCGCGCTGCCGCCCGGGCCGTCGGCGCCGCCGGCCGCGCAGTCGCCGGCGGCGTCCGACGACGCGTCCGCGCTGCTGCTGCCCTGCTTGGATCGCCGCGGTGGCTGCCGATGATGGGGGGTTGGGTTCGATCTGACCCACAGGCGGACTCGATTGGACAGGACATGCGACGGGACATTAAGACCCTTCCGAGGGCCACATTGCAATAGGAATGTACACCCTGCGAAATGCTCAAGAAATCATGGGTTAAGAAATTCATAGTCTCAGAACTTGATATAAAAACAGGAATTCCATTTAAATCTTAGGATTTACATTGAAACATTAAGAATAATCGAGACTCTGGCCGAAAACGTAAGTTTTCTTAAGCATCGCCGAGGGTGTAGGGCAGGCCGGGGCCGCCGATCCTCGCAGGCCCCAAGGAGCCCGGAGGCCGAGTGTCAAGACTCGTGGGGCTCGTCGGGCCCGAGACCTATAGTGCGCCTTGGCCTCATGGGGCTCACTGGAAGAGCAGAGCCGGCGGTGGAAGAACCTCCCTTTAGTAAACCTCCCCTTCGTGAAAACGGCCTGGGACCGAAACCGACGGACCTGGACCCGCGAAAATGACGGCCGCGACGCCCTCTCGCGAACCGAAAACGGCCAATTCCTCAATCGGCGTGTCAGGGTAGGAGGTCTGTCCAACCCCGACAGAGGGAGAGGGCCCGCGTCATGCGGTATATTGCCTCAGCAGGTTCGTTGGCAGCGGACAGACGGGCGCGAAGACAAGGACGAATGTGTGCAACAGAGACTCGGGATTCTTCCTTTCCAGGAGGATCCTGGTGTTGGTGCCATGCTCGGGTACGCCGAGTTTCCCGAACATCGCCGACAGATCGGCGATGCGCCACCGATAGCGGTCCCACGTCGTGGCCGCTGCATCGGCGATTGGCCACCGAGAGCGAAACCGAACCGTCCTGGGCGGGGTGGACTATCAGGCACCCGTCGGCGATGAATGGGCGACTGGGGGTTGATGCGTCCCCCCCTGAACCTACTCCTTGCTGGGCCCCAGAAACAGCGAGGCCAATGTTTCACCATTTCCGAAACAATGTCTCTTGAAAATGGAAGCGGCAAGAAACAACTACCAAAAACGGTGAAACATATCGGCCCCGGGATTGGAACCAAAACCGGAACAAGCAAAACAACGGCGACTGGACCGGCAACAAGAACGGAGTCGGACCCGATAAGAAAGCGACAAAACGGAACCGGTAACAAAAATGGCCCTGTCGTTTCCAGAGCCCACTAAGGCCTATCACCCACTAACGTTGCCCCTGATCTCCTCGAGGGTGCCTGCGCAGGTGCCCGCGAGGGAGGGGGGGGCCTCCGCGTCGACAAGCTTGTCAGCGGTAGCAGCCAAAGCCTCCCCCTCCTCGCTCACCATCTTCGGGGGCTGCCAAAGGTGCCCCTAGGCCAAGGTTTTAGACACCTGAAGTGGTACGGAAAAGAGAATACAATGCCCAACAAGAAATGTTGTCCAACACCGACAGCGGCCGCTGTTGGGCAAGCGGCATTTCGTCTTCAAAGAACAACGTCCGCGGCGGCGCGGACAGCGATTCGCGTTCAAAATGAACAGGGACTGCTGTTGGGCATTGTACCCATTCATTCCGTACCCATTTCGATCGTCCCGAAAGGTGCCTCCAGCTGTTCGCTCGAGTTTTGGGGCCACGGGGCCCTCTGGGCCTCGTGAGGGGGATGCCATGCAGGCCGCGAGGGCCTCTCATGGGGTACTCCTGGGGTTACCTTGGGCCAGGGAATACTGTGGCAACGCCCGGCATCCGGCGTCCATCGCGCGCCCCCCCCCCCCCTTGGCGGCGAGCGAGGGGGGGAAGTGAGAAGGCCCAGGCCTTCTCAGAAGGCTCGGAAGTCCCCCGACCTTCTGACACGTTTCTAGGCCTCCCCCGAAGACGGACAAAGCTGCTCAGAAGGCGCGAGGGCTTCTAAGAAGGCCTTCTTCTTCTCAATTCCCCCCCTCGCTCGCCGCGGACCCCTGGCTCCGGCCCCGCGGGCGCGAACGCAAAGAATCCAGAGCCAAAGCTGCCACAGAGCACCTCCGCGCCATCTCAGGGGCCCATCTGTCGCCGCTTCCGCTAAAAGGAAGGGACGAGGCGTATGTGAAGCCACCTCAAACTTTCGTGTGAAGTGGGGCACCTCGCTTCACTTCCGTAGGCCTTACGAGCTCCTACTTATCCAGAACGGCCGACGTATCCCACCTCCAGAACGGTCACGGCCATTGGTTCACAACGAAGCTTGACCAAGTCCAGTCCAGCCTTCACTTCGGAGGCAGCAGGCATGTCAAGAAGGATGAAAAAGCCGACCTGAGACCTGAGACGTTCAAGCCCAACGCGACGCTAGACTAAGACACAGGAACGTCCTAAACGAATGACGTCATCCCGGCCTCATTGAATGTAGCGTCAAGAATGTACTACACGAGTAATTCCGAAATCTGCATGACACTTGCACGCGCATCTGCCTGCGAGACGTGCGCGGATGAGCACGTTTCCGGTAAGGGGTGGCCGAGTCTGGCACGCAAGACTCAGCACATCGAGCAGGGTGGTATCTGGCAGGGCTGAACCTAAACGGTGTGTTTCGTTTTCGTGTTGTTTTCGTGTTCCCTCGTTTTGTCTTCAATCCACCTCTACCGCAAAACGAAGTCGAAACGAAAACGGCCCATGAATCGCCAAAACACCGTTTAGGTCCAGCCCTGGTATCTGGAAGAGAGAATGCTGACTCGATGAGACAAAGATCCAAGAAGCAACGGCTCGACATGCAAATGACTGGACGCGGAGGGTCCCGCAGAGCAGCTGCGTGCAGCGGAGTTTCACCTCCGCTCCCCGCTCTTCGCGCCGCGAGTTGCGGAGCGCAAACGTGTTATGTACATCCTACATCCCCCTTGGCTTGCTCAACGGCGCACGAGCCCCGCCCACCCTCCCACCCGCAGTCCGCTCTCTGCTGCCCTGATCGCCACCAGCTATGCCTCCGTAATCACCTAAATCTCCTCGAACCTTCTCTTCCTCCTCATCCTCCGCTCTCCTAGTGCATGCTGCAGATTCACGGATCTCCACGCTAGCAAGAGGATCCACATCATGCCGCATAACCAATGCAAGACATCGCAAGAGATGTGGCATGGCGAAAGACGAGAGCGTGCCTCAAACAAACTCGTCCCTCCCGCGCAGCATCCTCCCCTCCTCCTCGATCGCTCTCCTTCCTCCCGACCCGATCTTCGTTCCCTGTGGGCCCTCCTGGTTCCTCCTCTGTCCCCTCCTCTTGGTTCCCCCTCTCCCCTCCCCTCCTTTCTTGGTTCCTCCTGGTCCTCCCATCCCCTCTCCTCCTGGTTCCCCCTCTCCCCTCCCCTCGTCCTCTTGGCTCCTCCTGGCTCCTCCTGCTTCCTCTCCCCTCCCCTCTCCTCCTGGTTCCCCCTCTCCCCTCCCCTCCTCCTCTTGGCTCCTCCTGGCTCCTCCTGGTTCCTCTCCCCTCTTGACTCCTCCTGGAGCCTCGCGCTCGGGTCGCCCTGTACACCTCGGATATTCCCCCCTGTCGCCACATGCTCGTGACCACACACGGGCCCGCCCCAACAGGGCTCCTCCTCCTCCTCCTCCTCCTCCTCCTCCTCCTCCTACTCCTCCCCCTCCTCCCACTCCTCCCCCTCCCTCCTCCCTCCTCGATCCTTCCTCCTGCAATGAATGCACATGGGTGGAAGAACCACGCGATGCTGCATGTTCAAAATGGCTCTGCCTGTCCCGTCGCGCCCCTGCCCGCGTCGAACCCGTGCCGAATCCACGTCGGAATCGTTGGATCAATGTCGAATCCGTGGCGAATCCGCGTCGAATTCACGCCACATCCGCGTCGAGCCCGCATCGAGCCCACGTATGGCATTAGAGACGACGCCACGTTGGGGTCAACCCAAGCCCCACGAAGGTGCAACACAAAACACGCATACGGATCAACATAGCTGTGCTGTCTGCCATCTCCGTGCAGTCGACTCTTCTGTGGAACCCCCCGTCCCCTCCAAAAAGACCAGTGCGAGCATCGACGATGACCTGGCCCGTCAACGCAGCAGGGCGGAATACGCAGGCAACACAATCAATCGCCCTGCATTCCTGAAAGCGACAACATGATCAAACCCTGCTGCCGCACTGACAACAACCACTACGAGTCCGCACGAACGCATCGTCTACTGCACCTTGCTGCTCAAACGCCGAAGTAACAACTGATCCCGCGCTGCCCCCGATTCGCAATCAGAAGTCAATGCGATACATGAGCATGCCCAAAGCACACTCGAGCAACCTGCTTTGTATTTCGATCGGTTGCCAACGATGAGGTCGATTGGTCTTGGGACATGGCCTGAATTAGACGACGCAATTGGTCAGCCAAGCACGCTGCCCGACAAGGTTCCGCCTTCCTAATGGGTAGCAATAATATGAAAGATCCTGCTGCAAAGGTGCCTGAGCTTTAATTTCCCCACGTGCTTCGTGGGGTTATGGTGTTCTTCTGTGCCGCGTCGCACCCGCGACCCTCACCTCACCTCCTCCTCCTTCTCCTTCTCCTTCCCACAGGGCGCAGCACAGCTCAGCACAGCACAGCACAGCACAGCACAGCTCAGCACCTCAGCAATGCTCAGCTCAGCACGGCTCAGCATAGCACCTCAGCACAGCACAGCACAGCACAGCACGACGGTCGTCCAGGGCAAAGCAGGCGTGGAACTCCCTCGACACAATGGGGGGTGCGCAGGGGGTGGTCTCTCACCGCGGCCGCTATGCGCGCCTCCCGTCCAGGGCACAGCAGGCGTGGCACTTTCTCGACACCAGATGGGGTGCGCACGGGGTGGTCTCTCACCGCGGCCGCTATGCGCGATTCCCGTCCAGGCGCTGCGGGCGTGGCACTTTCTCGACACCAGAGGGGGCGCGCAGGGGGTGGTCTCTCACCGCGGCCGCCATGCGCGCCTCTCGTCCAGGGCACAGCAGGCGTGGCACTTTCCCGACACCAGATGGGGTGCGCAGAGGGTGGTCTCTCACCGCGGCCGCTACGCGCGCCTCCCGTCCAGACAAGGCGTGGCACTTTCTCGACACTAGAGGAGATGCGCATGGGGTGGTCTCTCACCGCGGCCGCTATGCGCGCCTCTCGTCAAGGGCACAGCAGGCGTGGCACTTTCTCGACACCAGAGGGGGTGCGCACGGGGTGGTCTCTCACCGCGGCCACTACGCGTGTCTCTCGTCCAGGGCATAGCAGGCGTGGAACTCACATTCTCGACACCAGAAGGGGCTGCGCAATGGGTGGTTTCTCACCGCGGCCGCTACGCGCGCCTCTCGTCCAGGGCACAGCAGGCGTGGCACTTTCTCGACACCATAAGGGGTGCGCAGGGGGTGGTCTCTCACCGCGGCCGCTATGCGCGCCTCTCGTCAAGGGCACAGCAGGCGTGGCATTTGCCCGACACCAGATGTGTGTGCGCAGTGGATGGTCTCTCACCGCGGCCGCTATGCGCGCCTCTCGTCAAGGGCACAGCAGGCGTGGCATTTGCCCGACACCAGATGTGTGTGCGCAGTGGATGGTCTCTCACCGCGGCCGCTATGCGCACCCCTCGTCCACGGCGCAGCAGGCGTGGCACTCTCTCGACACCATAAGGGGTGCGCAGGGGGTGGTCTCTCGCCGCGGCCCCTACGCGCGCCTCTCGTCCAGTGCACAGCAGGCGTGGCACTTGCTCGACACCAAAAGGGATGCGCAAAGGATGGTCTCTCACCCCGGCCGCTATCCGAGCCGGTCGTCCAGGGCACAGCATGCGTGGTACTTTCTCGACACCATAGGGGGTGCGCAAGGACTGGCCATCAACATCATTCTCACATGCTTCACTTCAGCTATCATCACTCCAGACATAATCGGAGGTGAGGGGGTGAGATCGAAGAGGAACGGAGAGCCCCCCTACCGGGAAATCGGTTTCGGTTTCGTGTTCGTGCGTGCCGAGCGTGCGGGCGAGGCGAAGCTGCGTGGGCGGGCAAGAAGAAAGTCTCCTCCGGCTGAGGCGCGGCCGGACCACATGTCTCCTTTCCGCGGGCCAGTGCCGCGCGGTGTCCCGCCGGTGTCCTGCCCCTGGCTGAGGCGCGGCTGGACCAAATGTTTCCTTTCGGGGGGCCGGTGCCGCGCGGTCTCGCCGATGATGATGATGATGATGATGATGATGATGATGATGATGATGATAATGATGATGATGATGATGATGATGATGATGATGATGATGATGATGATGATGTCGATGATGTTGATGATGATGATGATGGTGATGATGATGGTGTCCCGATGCTGATGATGATGATGTTGACGAGGTTGATGATGATGATGGTGATGGTGGTGATGATGATGGTGTCCCGATGATGATGATGTTGATGATGA